CAACAACTTCAATAAAACATCTTAATAAATTGGCCCACCAAAACAAAGTTTTATACCTGTTTTTTTCCCTTGTGTATATAAATATAAGTCACATTTCAGTGTATATACTACGAAAGCAGAGAACGGCCATCCTCACAATTATTTTTTAATGTTTTTATTTCAACATTACGAGTTAATTATTTTATCATCTCAGGAAAACAAGCTGTGAAATAATAATTTAAAAAAATTAAATAATTAAATGTTGAGAAATCAAAAGGTTATTTTATTATGTTACCTTGGAATAATTACAAAAAGGTTGTTTCCTCTTAGTAGGCTACTTGTAATGTTTATCAGAGATTATTATTGATCACATGGATCAAGATCAAGGATAAATAAGTTACATCAAAGAACAACGAATCTATGCTGGAGGGATTGCAAACAAGTTGGAGATCATGCACATATTTTCTGGAAATGTCCAAAGTTGAAATCATATTGGGAAAGCATTCATACAGAAATATTATCTATTTTAGGTATTGATTTGCCCCTGGACCCTAGGTTTTATATTATAGGTTTGACTCCGGCGGGGCTGGTGGATAATCAAAAAAAATATATGTTGCATACACTCCTACTGATTGCAAGGGAGATGATCACCTTGTCTTGGCGTAACCCCCTCCCGCCCACAATACAACAGTGGCATAAAAAGATTGTGACTAAATACTCCATGGAAAAAATAACAGCTAAAATACAGTTAAAGTTTGATATTTTTTTAAGAAGATGGAAACCAATAATAGATTATTTTAATTTATCAATCTGACCCTTTTCTGCTATATTTATATAGTGGTGGTATGCATTGTTTATATGTCTTGTCTATGGAAAGAAATTTTATGAAATTATGATATTTTGTTTTTCCTTCCTCTTACCCCCCGTGTGTGAGGTTGTTTTGTACTCTTCGTTTACTTATATATGCAACTGATGTCGGATGTACGATACCCTAGTAATGTACTATTATGACATTCAGAATTATTCTGATCTGATATTTATGATAATGGAGAATATTTCTTTTTTTAATGTTGTGTTGAAGGAAAGAAAGGTCATGAATTTTGTGTATTGAGGTCAAACACATTGTTTTTCCTTCATTTATTAATTCATTCATTTAAATTTTTTAAATTTATTTATTATGGTAAATTAATTGCTTTAGCTGTAGGGTCAAAGTGAAAAAGGAAGAAAGGAGAAAAAGGAAAGAAAAGAAGGGGGGAAGGGAAAAATAAGGTTGAATATAAAAAATGCCCTCTTTATTTATTTTTTTAAATGTATTTATTTATTTAATTATTTATTTGCTTCATGACCTAATATGGTTTCGTGGTTTGAATGATCTGTTGTGAAACTTCAGAAAGGAAAGGAAAAGAAAAAACCTTGTATCGATTAAGGTTAATCTTGGTTTACCATTTTGGTTTAAAATATCAAGTGCTATGGAACATTAGGAACATTTCTTATTACACCTTTAAATTTTCCTGCACACACCTTGGGGTACATGAATTTCACATTGTACAGAAAAAAAGAGCAGCACTACTTTTACCCTTTGCCACACAGTAGTTAAAGATTCATATACAATTCAAAGCACTGCTTTACCCAAGGTCGGCTGGTGTTTCACAGGGATACTCTGATAAACACAGACGTACAGTGCAGCTTAAAAACAGGCAAAAGTCATCAGGGCTTACCCAAAAAGTGCTTGCGCTAGATGATCAGTTCACTGTGGGGATACAAGGAAGGACAGAAGTGCACTTTGAAACTTGAGTTGGTTTCCAGAGTTCATGGTAAGCTCACAGAGACTGACAGTCTCCAGTTTACACACACGGTGTGAAGGTAAGCAGGCAGATCAAAAGGTACGTGCTTGTATTTGAACAAAATACCGAAAGCTGAGGGAACCAAAGTAGCAGAGCCTTTTGTACAACACTTCAGAGACTTCAAAAGCCCACTGACAGTCTGTTGCTGAAACAGGAGTTTGTTGAGGTTAGACAAAGTTGCAGCGAATCACAGTCAGCAACATTTATAGGCTCGATACCTACATGGGTGTTCAAGTGATGAGTGGAGCACTTTTTGAGGTGATACTGCTGCAGGCACACAAGACGTTCATTTGCACAAGCCTGTCAAGCTCTCATAAGTTCTACAAGGGCCACCAATAAAGTGTGATGTTCAGACGCTATCCTAGAAACACCAGAGGCTATTACCAATTATTTTCTCACTCCGGCTCTTGGAACAGACAGGTGAGAAGGTGATCAGCATTTAAAAAGGTCACATCTTTGATAATGTGCAGAGATCCTTGATGTGAACACTGTGTTCTCTAGTGTAGATAGTGCAACTACCTAAACTTATCCTCTGATATGCTGCTTGGCAGTTACGGAAAAGTAATTGAAAATCCTGACACTGAGATGTCTAAGGCTACGCTCCATAGATGTGTGATGTGGTTTTCAGGGGAATGCAAGTTCAATGGCATCATGCCTGAAACTGGACCTGCTAAAAATCCTCTGGGGTCTCCTTCTTCCAGGAGACAGAGACAAATAAATCCTGCTATAAGTGTGCAGGCTGACCGCCAACACATGACATGCATATTGAGGATAATACACAGATAATTTATACACATGCATGCATAGTCTGTCACACACAACTTGTCCCTGCTTAAGTTGCGTGAACTTAAATTGATTATACAGACACACACACATCCAGACGGTAAAATTTCCCTTTGATCAAACAGGGATCACCAACTGCCCAGAGATTAAAAGACCAAACCAGGCGATGCGTTCTCCATACATATGAGGGGACAAAATGACAAACACATACTGAAACACTAAGTGAATATCAAGTTCCAAAAAAAAAAGGAGCAGAGCTGCCATTTTGCCCCCTCAGAGAAAAAGTCAGTCCAGCTGGAGAGCTGCTGTGTGTGTGTAAAGGTAAACTCCCTCAGTTCTTCCAGCACATTTCATCTCGATTCAAGCTGTTACTAACATTTTCTGTTTATGCTATTTAGCAGTACAGCTGCAGAGATTAATCAACTAATTCGATAATCGACTGATTGATCAATTGATTTTCTGGTTTCTTTACTCCACTATGTCAGTAAACTGAATATCTTTGGGTTGTGGACAAAACAAGACATTTGATGACATCATCTTGGGCTTTGGGAAACAGTGATAGACGCTATTTTCTGACATTTTATAGAGCAAAAAAACTAATCGATTAATCAAGAAAATAATGGACATTATGAAAACAGTCAGTAGTTGCAGCCCTCTTTAGCAGTAATATGTGATCTGGGAAAATTCATTAGGGTTGCATACCAAGACGCAGTGCACACAAGCGATACCTACCGGACTGAATCACACTGCAGATTTTAGTCCCTCAATTTGGTGTCAGACTCTGTGTGTAGTGAGTGTGTGGTTGCAAGAGAAAATGAGAGTGCAGGAGTGTGACTGTAACGTGCCAAGACTGGAGCAGAGAGTATGAAGCACAATGAGTGAACAGTTTAGTGTATTTTTCAGTTAATAAAGCTACATCTCCTTAAGACTAAATAAAGTGAGTGGGGTTAGCTCCAAAGTTAGCGAGCTAAGCAAGCCTCCCATTTGAATCCGACCAGGCTCACTTAAGGTGGACCTGCTGTTCTCACTGTAGTGACAATCTCAGCCACTCGTAAACAGATAATGGAGAATTTGTCTTGCAGATGAGTCTCTCCTAAGTTAGGGGGACAATTACTGATCCTTTAAGTACTTTAATGCTTAAGAATTAAATTACTGTTATTAGGTTAGGTGAATTTGTTATGTGCATTTTTAATAACATTTTCTATTTATTAATTTTTAAGTACACATTAGACTATCAAAATTTAATATATTGTTAAATTTCAAGCTCAAATTTGCTTTTGTAATAATAAGAATTTTTTAAAAAAACCTATCCTTTAACATTGCCAACCATCATTTTTAAAAAAGTATTGGTTTAGGCACATTTTGGGCACTAGCACCATTTTTAAAGTATAATTTTAGCATCAGCATTGGAATAAAACAACAAACAAAACTATTATTTAGACTCTAGGGTACACCTGGTCTTGTGCAATACCTTCATAGTCCTTGGCTTTTACATTAAAATACCCACTGTTGAAAATAATCACTCCCAGAACGTGGCTGTCCACTGTACATATCTAGACTGTTGATAACAGACACTGTATGTGAACTGAACATAATTTTACCTGGATGGTTAAAGATAGGTAGGACAGAACTAATCAGACCTTAATATGTGTATTTTTTTTGCTCATGGTTTCAGGTTGTATGCCTCATACAGCAGCTTTTGCGGATCAGATTGAAACGATTTACTAAGAGCAGCTCTGCTTGATTGCCAGCTTTGCGAGAAACCAAAGGAGTGTTGCTACTAAGGGCTTTCTAAATTAACTTGCACGGCTAATGATAACATCGTGATTAATAAAACGTAGACACAGACACATGCAGACACACACTCATCAGTGATGACTGATGTACAAATCATCAAAGAGTCCCATCAATCCTGACTGTGTTGTCCTTCCATCCCAGAGGAAGAGTTGTAAAACCTCAGCGCCTGATAATACTGCACAGTGGAAGAAAAACAGTCTCATCTACACCTTGACACTAACATGGCCGTGACTTATAACTGGTATAAAAACTGTATTTTCATGGCAATACAGCAGGTCTAAACAAGACAGCTCCAAAAACTCTATTTTATCATACCTTAACGTGCACAGGAAGAGTGTCCAAGGTATACAAATGTATTATAAAGCTTCCTCTCTACCTACCACAGCATGTAATCTACTATCCATGCATCAGATGGTTAAAAATAACACACCAAAATGTAATACTTAAACTGCACTCTAATGAGGCCATAACCTGCATAGTAAGCTGCATGTCAAGTACCTGAAGGATAGCAGTAAACAGAGATTGCTATTTAACTCAGAGGTGAATCCTCTGTTGGATAACAGTCTTATAGCATGTCTATATGTGTGAGTGTCTCACCATGGGCGTCACGGTAGTAGGCATGAGTGACACTGCGGAACCGCTCCTGTCCAGCTGTGTCCCAGATCTGCAGAGAGTAGGAGAGGAAGGTAATCACCGTATACAGAAAGAAGTTTCTATCTTTTTAATAAGTCCTGTGTTTGCTCAGCCGTCCCGCTGGTGCTCATTGTGAAACCCTCCATTCAATTTACTCCTGTGATACTGGATAAGTCTGGAATATGGAAATGAGATATGCAGGACTATTGCAAAATCCATTGTCTTATGACAATGCACTGAAAAAAAATCTGTACTTAAAGCTGCGTTAATTGATTTTTTTATTGGCCACCTGGGGGCAGCGCAGCAAGCTGTAAACACAACGTTACTGACATTAGGGATGTTACTTTCGATTAATTTTGCTTTTATCAGTCTAACACCCATTAACAACAATATGAAAACAATGTGAAAAACAGGAGACCTTTCCTTTTAGTCCTGCACTCCATTGACTCGGCGAGCTTAAGCGCTACATTTCAAAGTGCTCTCCATTTAGAGGTGGTGAAATAGGGATATAGCACCCATTGCCAATCCTTCAGTCTCCACTGGTTAACTTAGCTAACGTTAGCCTTGACCACTCTGCACTGCGCACCACCCAAGTAGGGTAGGAGCTAGCTAACAGGGCTGTTCATTCACGATTACCTATGGTACCGCCACCGGGACGGAGTTGCTGCAGAAACAGTATGGGCACCCTCCAATCGACCCCTGTAGCTCCAGTGAGAAAATGGCTTCTTTTTAAGCAGTGTTGGGGGTAACATGTTACAAAAGTAATGTTCAGGTATTATCATTATACTTACAATGTCATGCATTGTTACTACCTGAAATAAAGTACTTAATGTTTTCATTTTTCATTCATCCAAACTGATACACCCTGCAACACTTCCACCAATGCGCCACCAGAAAAAAATTCTACTAAAAAGGTATTTGTGTCTTGTCATGTCACTACAGACATTATAGAAGGCTGCAGGTGGTCGGCATATCTGGGTGATCCTGGACTGTGTGTTAGTATGCTCAGTGTGTTTCCATTCATATACCTACAACGTAGCCTGTTCTGCTTTGCATACTAAGGCTGCTCGAAAGCAAGAGGGATAAGGAGCCTTCGTTTTTTTTTTCCTAGTCCCAATGACATCTGGGTACTGCCATCAAATGTACATTAGTATGTTAGATGTTTTTCATTCACATCCCTTCAAATGCAGAGCAACGCCTGCACACCGACCTGTTGCTATGCATAACTCTCTCCTGGGCTGTTGGAGCTGACCAACAAAACAGGAAACCAGCAGGTGTGTCTTCCAGCTCCGGTGAATTAATTTGCACATAGTGACTTAGTGGCACACCATTCCTAGGGTGGGCACAATGTTTCTGCAGCAATGATGTTGGGTCAGGGTGGCACGACTAGTGGTAATCGTAGAATGAACGACGCCGCTACCTGGATCCCACCAGAACCAGGTAGGGCACAGTGCAGTAAAAAGAAGAGTAACAATTTTAACCAAAGACGATTTGCGTCTTAGCAAATGGTTATGTACATACACATTGGCAAAGGCAGAGCAGATGTAGCCTTAATTAGAGGACATGTTTGATTAGACCTGATTGAAGTCCAATATTTTCCTGCCATTTGGTGCCGGGCATATTAGAATGCAGTGGATTTAGCAAAGCTTTTGTTTTTGTTGCTGAAAATAGCTCCTGCGGCTGAAAACAGAGTTGATCAGAGAGATGAGAGTGAACCAAAACACTTAAGTTAAGGGCTGTATAATCAAAACAATGCACTACAAGATGCTGGAGTACTCTGTACTGCTGAGGTAACCAAGATCAGGTGAATCATTCCTACAAGCAGCTCCTTGCACATTACACACACAGTAATTGATCCATTGTTGGAACAACAGATTAGTGCAGATTTAAGGTCACAGCCATAGGTCATAGACACTGTGACAGTGGCTGTGATCCACTGGTTTTTGGACTCCTGTTACTGAAGCCTCGAGCTCAGCATTTTGCCCTCATCATTTTGTTTTTTGGAAGCCAGAAGTGACTATCTTTGGATGTGAGGGTGGAGCTGTGGCGAGGTAAGGGGTGGATCTTGCTCATAGAACTCTCTCAGTTGTCATTAACAGGGAATTAGCTATGGACCATTATTTGTACCAGGCTGTACGTGTGTTTCTGTCTGAAGTCTAAAGTTGTCTAAAGTTGTGCATTATAACACAGGGGTCTATGGGGACTGACTACAGTTTCTGGCACTTCCGCATTGGTTTAATTGTCCAGCCCCGGAGGTTGACCCTTGGTCACGGCATGTACAATATCGTACGCATTTCTATCATTCGTAACCTTTAGCACAGTCTGGGTCATGATATTGAATATTAATCAGCCGTGGTTGAAAACATTTGTCTCATTGTCCAGCCACAGTGGAATAAGGCTAATTAAGTCCATCTTTTTCCCATCAGGCAACACAGTCTCTCATCACAATTTGGCTCCTATGGCAATTACATTTGTTTCTCCCTTGAGCAGACATGTGCAGGTTGACTGCACACCTCATTGTTGTGGATTTTCTAAGCAGTTTTTTTTTCTGGACCCTCTTTCTCCTCTTTCTCTTTAAGACTTGTCAGCGTTGATTCTGAGTCTGCCTCCTGATTGCCTCCTGAGGCAACCGTTCCCCACAGGATCCAAGTGGCGGTAATGAAGAACGTCAATTACTGGAGGAAAAATAACTCTGTGTGTAGGCTACAGGGTGCTCTGCAAATGGACTTTGAGCCAATTAACCTCAACTGAATACAATGCAGAACAAAGGCTCACTCCACCAGCCTCCATTAACCCCTAATTAAGATCATTAGTGATGATTCACATAATTACTTGCTCTGTGAGACACATCAAACATACAACAACGCTGAGTTGCTCTCAGTGTGGGTGCCAGTTCTCAAAAAAGTGGAGGAAGTGCGGAGTATAGAAGGAAACTCAAAGCCTAATGGAAAGTATTCATGGAGATGGATAAACTCGAACTATCTTTTAGGGCCTGTTTCTTTAAAGATCATTGATCTTGTGCGATTAGGTACATGCATCAGCCAGCTTTAAGTATAAGGTTTTTTCTTGGAGACAAGGTTGGAAACAGGATCTGACAGGTGGCTACGACACCACAGGGCCTGATTCTTATTTGGTTGACGCCTTTCTCTTGGCGACAACTCTTACAAAAATTATGTAGAAACAGTTGTTGGATGATTGTCAGGATAGATTTAGCTTCTTACCTGGAGCTTCACCTTGACTCCATCAATGTTCAGGACTTTATTCTGGAAATAAAAACAAGAAATCATAAGTGACAGCACCTAAATTAAAACACGTTTTCCAACCTCCTTAGTGAGTGGAGAAACATCCTCAGGTGTGCGCGCGTTAGTTTGTGGTCAGACACCTGGCTGAAACGTCTCTTCCTCTTATCTACCGGCCACACTCTCCTCTCCTCCCTCCATCAATATTGCATGCCTCCACCTCACTTTGGCCCCTTTTGATGAAGCCTCGCCTCTTTCCTCGAGAGGATTAACCCCCTTTGCTCTCTTCCGTCTCCCCGTCTTAGGGAGACAGTCCTCTGATCTTGGCTTCGATCTGCTCTACCACACAGCAGAGTGAGGCTCAGCCAAATGGACGTGCAGTTTCCCAGGTCAGAGGGTGACTCTGCCTCGAGAGCTAGGTGCACAAAGTTTGAGCACCCTGCCATCAAATTAAATTCATTTTAAATGATGGCAGGAGTGGGTTCAAGTTAAAAACAACTTCACTAAAAGTAGAGCTGCACTTAGATGTACAAAATAATGTGCCTTATGCCTATTGTGCTCAGTGAAGATTCAAATCTAAATCGTATTGTGGCAGACTTTGTGATATCAGCAAAAATCGCATTAATTGTCCAGCTAATCAATATAATATTGTACCGTGATGAATTTATTGATTTACATCCTTGCTATTTACATTACAGTACACATTGGGCCCACTTGTCCCTATAACCCATTTGCCAACCTGGCCTCTGAGCAGAGGTGACTCAGACAGATAAATCAGCTCTAAGGTGTGAACCTTCTTTCTGCCCTCTGCCCTTCGTCTTATTGATCAACATCACTACTGTTCCAACAACTGGAGGATCATTACATCTTATTGATCTACACTGTAAGAATGCTACGCTTCTACAGCTTCCTGTTTGTAGAGGACATTTGGGATACAACTGATAATCATTTTCATTATCAATCAACCTGCAGATTATTTTCTTGATTAACTGATTCATTATTTTGTTTATAGACTATCAGAAAATACTAAAAGACACAAGACTATTTTAATTTTCATGAACCTTCTGTGGTACTTTCTGGTACTATGAATGAATGAACACCTTAGATGCGAGCAAAACAAAACATAAAAACAAAACTTCAACAGACATGCTCGAAAAGGAGTAGGAAGAAGTGTACACTTATATAATCCTACCCGCTTCTCACTATTCATGTCTCATTAAAAAAAGGAAATTGTCAACAGCTGTCCAAAACTAATTTACAACCATTAATATAGATAAATAAACAACAGTTTTTGATATTAAATACACAAACTCTATCTCAACCAAGCCCAGATAAAAAAATAAATTAACCTATCAGCATCACCCCTCTTCATCTGCAAACCTCCTTAATATACTGTGTCTGCACAGCTTTTTAAAGTGCTCTATAGTTTTGCTTCCCTTTAACTTCTCATCTAACCCATTCAATAAATCCACCCCACACACTGAAATACACATACTTTTCATGATTGTACGAGCACAATATTTTTTAGATTATTTTGATTAGTTCTTGCTTTGGACATTATTTGTACTGTTTCTAAATTCAGTATCACATTACAGTTACTAATCAAAATATTATGTTGTGACTTGCATTACCTAAACTCTTCAATTATCTGCATACTGGGCAGAAAAAAAAATGTTCCTTTTGATGCATGCTTGTGCAACAATTGCCTGAGCAAATTCAACATAGAGATGCCATCTAGTGCGCCCGCAGAGAGCCTGTGCAGTCATGGCCATCCTGATGGAAAAATTAATGTCTCTACCAAATGTTATAGCAATCACATTGTTGTTGTTTTTCACGAAAGACGAGAGATATTAACCTCGAGGCACTGCTAGAGGAAAAGTCAGGGATCATTAAAGTAAGTGGAATTCATCCTCTGGGGACGAAGGCATGTAAAAGATTTTATTTGTGCAAACATTTAATGGCATTCTATCAAACAGTTGTTGGGACCAACCAACAGATGAACATTGCCATCTACTTCCATGGCTTAACACAACTGGTAAGATAAATAGATGGTCAAATAGTTCATTTTCTGTCAATGGACTAAAGGATTAGTTTGAGTTCTAGAGGAAATGCTTATAAAATAAACGACTGTCCTGGACATTCACATCATCGCATCTATTTCACCGCATGCACTCCCATTTTCCGTGAGCTGGTGACTGCTGTAGAAAATAAGAGGTCAAGATGTTTTTCCGTGACCCACTTAAAGGCCTCCCAGTATGCCATTGTGGACTGCATCACCTGGTGCCACGATAACGCTCAAGCCCCCCCCTCTTCATCATCCCCTCTAAGCTGCTCCCGAGAGCCGCTGCTGACCTTCTAAATCCTCGATCCCCGAGGAGAAACAGAAGATATGCAACCCTGACAAGATGCTGCTAATCTGCCAGCAGAGCACTTAGAAATAGATACGGTCTTTGTTGACGTGTTCGGCTGATTTACCTCCCTGAAAGTCGCAAAGGAGCCATCTCATACATATTCACGCTCAAGTCGAGCAGTAGTTTGTAAGTGTGCTCTGATAGGAATCAGAGTCTCAAAAGACTTCCTCCCTGTTGTTGTTGTCACTAAAAACAACCCACATTGTGCTTGCAGGGCTTCATAAATATTTAGTGACCCAGAAAAAGAGGCTCATGATCGCACCGTGGCGAGGATTTGGGGTGGTTAGTCGGGCTTGATTGCACTGATAAGTATGTAGGATTTGTTAAGAGGAATTACTTAAAATCAGCCAGAACAGGACATAATAAGACAGATTTAATGAGCACCCAGAGTGTGGACTGAGCAGGATAAGAAAGTATCTGAGCAGCTTACTGTGGTAAGACGCAAGGACTTAAGGTATTGTAGATTACAGACTGTCAATCATACTTCTAGCAACACTGTCTACACTCTCAAAACTTCTTCAAGCTTCAACATCTTACAAGCTGACACGTCTCAGCTCCGCGTTAGTTACAATTTACAGCGTGGCGGCTGAGAAGCTTGCACCACTTTCAGGTCAGTTTCATTTCCTGAGCACAACGGCCAACACCCTCCAAACTCAACACATCATCAAATACATAGTGCTCTACTTACTAGACACTGGATGTTAGCAATTTAATCTCTTTCTCTCCCAAAAGGTACATGAGTGAGAAGGTACAGTCAGTACAGAATGACTCTAACAGCACTTCACAGGGATCATAAATTACAAATGCACGAGGAGCTTTCACAGGGGCCCGTGAAGTGTGAGCCGATGAAACATTAATGGCAGCAGCGTGAGGCAGAGAACGGAAGCATGATGGCCACAAAAAGGTTGTGTACCAGACAAATTCACTGTACTGATAAAAAATAACGAGGAAGAGGATATATGCTCCTCGTGTCTTCTCTTTCGCTGTGAGAGCTCAATGGTGCATATGGCTGCCTGGCCTCAACACACACACATCAGAAATCAAAGCAATGGGGGAAGTAAGTTAAAGAACTGAGGGCAGGGAGGTGCACAGAGGCAGGGCTCTATTCTGCAGTCAACGCAACTCCCAGCTGTCAAGTTTTCTAAGTCATGCTGACACAGACATAAGCACACACTTGCGCATACTGTACTCACAAACACATTCGCCTTCGCCCTCCCTGCCTACAGAAAGGCACTCATTTCAACAGCAGGGTTTGATGATGATTACGAAGAAAGGTGTCCCCCTTCACAAAATATTTGTCATTTTATACTGCAATATCAATATAATATGTACATTTTCTCCAAAACAGCATCACATGAATGCCTATTTTTGCTGATCCAGTGGATTAAATACCTGATAAATCAAGACAATGTCTTTACATTGCTGCAAAAATCCTCTCAATCCAAATTTCTGTTGTCAAGCAGCATGTTGTGCAAATCTATTTCACAACCCTAACCCTTCCTCCAGGGCGTCTACAGGTATCAGACAGCTAAATTCAATGCTTTTCAAGACCCGCTGAAGACACCTTTTAACCAAATTTTGAGCAGATTTCTGGACAAATCATGTTTTACTTATTTAAGCATTGCAGGCATGCAGTATGTGGTCTTGTGCAGAGGTACGTGTTAATATGGTTATTAAAATGAGTTAAGTCAATCTACATTTTGCCAGCAATTACAAGTATGAAGTAAAATGACATTTTTTTTTAACATAGAAAGGCTTCACTCATTTTCACAAAGAGAAATTAAAAAATGGATAAATGCAATTAGATAAAATGTTTGTAGTAGTTTAGACCTAACAAATTCAAATGTAAGACTATGTAATTGCTTTTTAAGCCTTATTGTTGTTGTAGCATTGAATTTAAGACATTTTAAGACTTTTTAAAGAACTGTAGGTCACCTGTCCTCTCCATCTTCCTTTTTTTAGCACACAATTTTATGTTAAAGTAAAGTCTGTGTCTATTTTATGCAAGACAGAATCACTTTTTTCCCTGCACATGAGCCACTCAAGATGGTCTTTGCTTCCACAATCTTAAGCCAACATTCAGATCATGATTGTTAATTGGAATCTTTACAATGTGACGGCAACGTGCAAATTAAGCAGACACTTCCACCTGAGGACCCTTCCTGGAAGACGAGCAGGGAGCTATGGGAAGCCAATAACCGTTCATCTACACAAACTGCCCACACTATAGTGACACAAAGCTGGTTGAAAATCGGCAAAGTATCCCTTTTACAAACGTAAATTTTATGGTGCAGATTTCATTTTTTGTGTTTATTTTATTGAGCAAAACTAATAAAACCACAGAAAATGAAATGCTGCAGTCAATTTGTGAGAGCCTGAGCTTCAGTCATGGTATTATGATAGTCACACACTCACACACACACTCACTCCCCTCACAGTGATGCAAAAGACAATTCAAGAAGCAAAATATTAAGTGGTGTAAGTAGCAACTAGAGCCTGATCACTGTATGCAACTTAAGCAATATAAATGTTGACTTTTCTAATAAGGAAACCAATTAGTTAATTTAAGAGACTTGTCTTATGTTCTCTTTTGTATATTTATTATTGCTCTTT